TTGTCTCATAAACATGCAAGTTTAAGGTATGTCTTGCTACTTCTACTTACACTTAGGTCACATACACATCATGTACAAGCATTTTATATACACCCCCTCTGGTTTTCTATATTTTTATAGTTCTTGTTCTTGATGTTTATTTTTTTCTTACCCCCAAATGGGAAGTGGAACAGAATTCTTCCTCCTAAGCCATGCTGTTGTAGGAGGCAACTATATGCGGAGCAAGGCTAGTAACTCTTCTCCTGTAATATTATAAATGTAAAAGGAAAAAACTTTCGTTTTCCTTTGGGGGCCACCCCCCCGGTGGAATACGGCGGTGTTTTAAAAAGAAAGAAGAAAGATATAAATACTTTAACCCTTGGACTGTTTTCAGGCCCCTCTCTAAAAAACTTTCATTCTATGTCGCCCAATTTTTGAAAAAAAAAAAAATTATTTTTTCTTAAAATGATAGAGAATCTTTTCCCGATGGTAATCACCAAAGGTTCGAAATTTGGTCGAAAACTCGAAAAATTTTAGCTCCCGCGAAGTTAGCGGTCTCGGCGACATATGCGTATCGGCGATTTCGCCGACTTTGAGCCCAATTTTCACCAATTCCATTTTTCCCAGTTGACCAAATCATAGCTATTTCTTTAGAACTCCCATTTATCTATCAGCTGAGTACAAGAAACCTCCCATTTACTAATTTGGACTACCCAATATGGTGGTCAGAAATTGGCAATTTGGCCAATTTCACGCAAATAAAAAAGTTTCCATTTCAAAATAGGGTCCAGAATAAACAAGGTAGACATTCGTGGCACTTAAAATAACATATGCTCTGTTCATTAGTCACATCTCTAGGCCCTCTTATATTATTATTGCTTTCTATTTTGATTTTTTATTCAATACAAAAAAATACAAAATTTCTGTTTTTGCAGACGACTGCATTATTTTAAAAATTGGTATAAATAATATCAGTGCACTAGTGAAAAAAATATTAGACTCCCCAGTTGACGTGAAATTTGGGCGTGTGGTGTGATTTATTTACTCTTGAACATTGGTTTAAAAAACGAACATTTTCCCCTACTTTTAGCTCAGTTTCAAGGTCGTTTTCATCGTAAAAGTAATGAAAATCATTTTCTATTTCTGTAATATGTTTTTCCTTTTATCACCTAAGACCATGAAAACGCGAATACAACGATAAATAAATATACGAAAATACACCTCAAAGTCGGCGTTTTATTCCAAAAAAACGATCAGAGTTTTTTTTTTCTCATTACGCAATGTGTGCTGCAGGATTTTTTTTATGTGGTGCACACTGACCACACAGACCCATTCTCTCACATGTGGGCCTACAAGCTTTCTCCCACTTGATTTGAAGCCGCTAGAATTATTGAGTATATATACGTCAGAAACATTGGCTCGTAAGACGTATTTATACGTCGAAAACAGTCAAAGGGTTAAAACACTTGAAATTTCGGAAAGTTTCCAGACATAATGGAGAGATGCAGTGCTCACGGAGAATGTAAATAAACCGGGTGGCGCGCGCTGTATTAGAAAGATGAGGAGCCATATAGAAAGTTTTGGTCATGATTTGAAATCGCTGTATTAGCGGAACGCCATAAGGCAAAACACCGTAAAGCGGGGCCCTACTGTACATAGCAGCAAGCGTGCGTGAGAGTGTTAGATAGGAATGAATGGAGACAAATAGTTTTGGGGACCTGACGAGCTGTTGGAGTGTGAATAGGGTAATATTTTGTGAAGGATTTCAGGTAAACAGGTTAGCCAAACTTGAGTCCTGAAAACGGGAAGAGGGGTTTGGGATATTGACTTTTTGGAGGGACATCTAAACTGTCGTATCTGAGCGCCTCTGCAAAGACAGTGATTATGTATGAGTGATGGTGGAAGTGTTGAATGATGATGAAAGATTTTTTTTTTTCTTTTTGGGTCACCCTGCCTCAGTGGGAAATGGCCGACGTGTTAAAAATAAAAATTGTAAATTAAGTTAAGTTCAAACTCTTGAAGAGTGGAGGGGTGTGTTGTCTGGTACAGGAATTGGTGATCATCTGCCCAGCAGCTTTTTGTTGGGTTATTAATGGTTTGAGGTTATTAGTTGTAATAGATCCCCAAGTACAAATACATAGGTGAGGTGTACATTAGAGGGTGGTATAGTGTAGGGTTACTGTACACTGGATTTTTTCTTATCACTTTTGTCCATAGGGGTATCTGCAGGCCTTTTTGATATTTTCAACAATATCTCACACCACAAAGCAGAGAATAAGCACAAAACACAAGGTACTCAAGTGAATAATGCAAATAGGTCTGTCAGTGACGACTGGTGATAATAAACTAGCGCGAAAAGAGCATCAGAGCCCCACCCAAGGTATGTGAGGTCATGTGTCAGAACTGTCTAGGTATGCAAAGACCTGTGCAATGCTTTGGAACCTCCTTAGAGCCAAATGGAATTTTTCATTTGAGGCATCACGTCAGCGCTTGTACGAAGTTTCAGATTTTAGAGCTTTTCGAATTTCAGAATTTCAGGTAAAGAATACTCAAGATATTCATCATGTTCAAGATGGGCATCTTAGTTTTAGCACTATCATCCAATGGTATATGACTTTCTATATATATCAAAGATATTCTGAGGTATAGGTGAGGATATCTACAAAATCCATGGTAAATCCTATTGTACAAAAGAATACCATCCAAACCAGTAAGGTTTTGCAGATACTGGTGTCTGAAATTTCATTACTTTTAGTCTAAGCAACATCCGAGGTCAGGCTTTATGTTATTCCATAGCAGACACCTTGTTTGAGAGTGATAAATCACAATTAATTATAACACATCTAAAAATAAAAAAAAAAAAAAGTTACACAAAGAAAACCTTGATACCCTTACTCTGACTGCAATCTCCTTGTAAAGTCCCACCTTTAATGTAGATACTATCTCTTCTTGACTGAGCCTTACTTAACCCTTGCACTCTCTCACAAGGATCTACATTTTGAGCTCAGCTCCCTCAGTTAAGCTGTGAGTGGTAAATTTTTGCCTAAACATGAGAAAATTAGTCTGTATGGGAAGTGTGCATGGTATAAGAAAAAATCCTGTCTCAAGTAGGGCATAATGGGAAGAGCAAACCTCTGACCTTGTGTTGGGTTTAAAATAGCAACTTTGAGGTGTTTTCCAGGATGCTTTTTATGAGTTTATTGGTTGTTTCTTGGTTACAACTGGTAGAATGGAAGTCACACTACTGTAGTAGTATGTCTTCCATGTTGGTCTCAAACAGTAAGTAATTTGATTTTTGATGATTTTCTCAAAGAAGGATATGGGCCCCCATTCTGTCATATGGCTTTTAAGTAGGTCTGCTTCAATTATTGGGATGTCCTAAACCATTACAAATCATTCTTGGTTACATTTCATTATCTGAGAATTAGGGTAAAACTTTTGTTTTTTTTTTATGATGAATTCAAAATGGAGGGCAAGTGTAATATAAGAGGCCTGGAGACATGATTAATGAACAGAGAATAGGTTGCTTTAGTGGCTAGAATGCCTACAGTGTTTATGTTGGACTCTTTGTTTTCAAACTGGAATTTTTTTTAATTTGGTGTAAAATTAACCAAATTACTAACTTCTGTGCACATTACAGGTAGTTCTTGTCCTCAACTGATAGAACATAAGGCATACCAGCAAAATAGCTAGAAATTGGGTCAAATTGAGCAATGGAACTGGATTAAAATAGGACTCAAATTGGGCAAAATCATCAATGCATAAATTGTGCCCAGACCACCAACTTTGCACTTGTGCAATTTCATAAGTTTTCCATAAAATTGCCCATTTTTGGTGCCATTACCTTCAGAAAAAGATTCTCTACCATTTCAGAAGATTTTTTTTTGGGGGGGAGGGGGGGAAGCAACACTGTCAGCACTTAATTTCATGATAGTGAAAGAGTTAATTCACAAACTATGCACATCAGCACACCTACCTTTGCCACTTAGAGCTAAATGATGCATTGGTTCAGCAATTCTTGTGAATACAATGGAACCTCAAATATCGAACTTAATCCGTTCCAGGAGCTAGTTCTAAATTTGAAAAGTCTGAAAAGCGAAGCAACATTTCCCATAAGAAATAATGGAAATACAATTAATCCGTTCCAGAAACCCAAAAATATTCACACACAAAAAAAAAAAAAAAAAAAAAAAAAAAAAATTAGAGATTAATTATAGTTTTACATACACACAACAAATATAGTGTTCAATTATGTATTAATAAATTTAAATAAACATATAAAACAACATTTTTACTTACCTTTATTGAAGATTGGTGATGGCATCTGGAAGATAGGGAGGAGGAGAGAGGGAGTTGGGGTTAGTGTTTGGAAGGAGAATCCCCCTCCATGAGGATGTCAGGTATCAAAGCCCTCTCTGGGGTTACTTCCCTTCTCTGTATTTTAATGCCACTAAGACCAGCTTGAGAGTCACTGGACCCCTGTCTCACAAAATAACTGTCTACAGTCCTCTGTTTCTGTCTCACAAAATAGCTGTCCATAGTCCTCTGTACATCCTGGCAAGCTCAACACGTCTCACACCACTCTCATATTTCTGTATTATTTCCTTCTTCATGTCTATGGTGTTTCTCACTTTCTTTACCACAGGGGTACCACTAGCAACTTTCTTTGGGCCCATGGTAGCTTATTTCACAGTCCCACAAGCACTAAACACAATTAAATAATCATAAAATGTTTGAATGAGAGCGAAGGTTAGTGTTCACTCAAGCATCAACAAAACCAGACTGGCTCACAGCGCCTGCGTGGGGGCGCGGACAGGTCCAGTACCCGGTGGTTTGAAAATAGGGGCGAGTCCAATAATAGGGACAAAGTTGGTTCGTAAAAAGCGTCCAATTTTCGAAAAGTTCGATAAGTGATACATTCGAAATTTGAGGTTCCACTGTATAACAAAAGTAATACATAAAGAAACCATGGCATATAGTACATGAGAAGGAAACTGCCCAATAAAATCCATTTTTCTTACCTCAACATCCAAAGCAACTATATCAACATTTAGGCCTAATATAGATCCTAGGTCAGGGGATGTACGCCCTAAGTCACCATGAACAAACTCCTTAATATAGGTTCCAGCTTGTGTTGTTAGGTGAAGCTGTAAGAGAGATGAATGAAAAAAAAATTCTTGAAAAACAGTTGACATAAATTAGAGTAAATAAAAATGACTGAAATATGTATGTAAGTACAGTAAATCCTCACTTAATGTCATTTTGTTCAATGTTGTTTTGTTATAACATTGTTGAGAGAAAAAAAATCGACTCCTGGCCGGGGGCCACTGTCTGTGTGGAGTCTGCACATTTGTTTTTGAACTGCATGGTGGTTGGAGGTGCTCCTTACAATTTTTGCTCTTTGCAAACATTTAATCCTTTTTTTTTTTAGATAGCAATGTAGACAGGGGAAATCCTGATGCATTAGAGCAGCTGTATAAATAAATTAGTCTGCATTTTTTAAAGATGAATACATATAATGGAAAAGATTGAAGTCACTGAAAATTTGTATTTGGGTTTCTTTTTACATGCATATAAAATAAAGGTCTATAATACAGATGTTACCCTACTTACAAACATTCGAATTACAAACATTCAGACATACGAACAGACTCGTGGTAGTTACAGTTTCATTCGCAATACTTCCGCTAATCTGAATTTTGAGTTGCGCGCCTTCTGCGTAGTATGACGTTTTGCCGCAACCCACACCAGGCAGCACCGCAAGAGATGCAGCATAAGGAAGAGCAAAAGGAACAAGATGAAACTTCCTTCCAAAAAGTTTGAGATGAAAATGATGGCCGAGGCATTTTCTCTTATAGAGAGAAGTCTCTACATGTTTGAACTTCAGGATCTCAATATCGAGAGATTCTCAAAGGTTTCAACCATAATGACGAAGCATTTGATGACAAAGTGTATGAGGTTGATGACCCTCTCCCCCAGTAGCCCCACACAACCTCTGATCTTCCTCTCATCCATCACCTCAAGTTTATTGCACCAATTAAAAAGGCAAGTAGTTTTTTATTACAGTACAGTGGACCCCCGAGTTACGTGATTACTCCGTTCCACAGAGTCTGCCGACTGGCGAAATTCATGATTGGTAAATCTATTTTCCCTATAAGAAATAATGGAAACCCAATTAATCCGTTTCAGACAGCCAAAAGTATTAACAAAAAATAATTTTTTTAAAGATTAAATATAAATTTACATACAGAAAACAATAACAAATAAATATAAAGCACTAATAAAACAGATAAATGAACATTTAACATCACACTTAACCTTTATTGATTCTTGTTGGTGTAGGAGGAAGGTAGGAGGCAAGAGGATTATTATTATTATAATCAAGGGGGAAGCGCTAAACCCGGAGGATTATACAGTGCCTGGGGGGGGGATGTGGAAGGCATTCAGGCTTAATTCGGGGAACTGGAGCACAGATCTAATTGGAGGCAAGAGGAAGGCAAGTTTATTATGCTTCATTATTATTATAATCAAGGGGGAAGCGCTAAACCCGGAGGATTATACAGCGCCTGGGGGAAGGGATGCGGAAGGCATTCAGGCTTAATTCGGGGAACTGGAGCACAGATCCAATTCCCTAAATCAAGAGCCCCTCACCAACATCAAGGAACCTTCCTTGAGGGGTATTATGCTTCAATATGACGCTAATGTCATCTCTCCGACTTATTTATCTATCACAATTCATCTAATATGACATTATAAACAATATTAATAACATAGAAACATGATATATACTCTAGAATGAATAAAATATGTCATAATGTATAAGAGGAGTAAATGGTGTAAGTGTTGTTGTTGGGTTTAAGGGCCGCCACTGAGAGAAGCCGTGTTGGTGGCGGTGGAGGCTTTGGCCACCACCACCATCACACTTAAACAATGTATGTGATTTATAAATAAGAAATATTTACATTTTAATTTATAAATAAGAAATATTTACATTTTAATTTATAAATAAGAAATATTTACATTTTAATTTATAAATAAGAAATATTTACATTTTAATTTATAAATAAGAAATATTTACATTTTAATTTATAAATAAGAAATATTTACATTTTAATTTATAAATAACTAAGTTTATTCATGTATACACAAATACAGTTACATACATAGATTATCATACATAGCAGCATATGTGTGAAGTACCCAGGATAACCCAAAAAATTCAAGAGTGACATACATGTATTTCCATTGGTGTCCTTTTATATTTACACTTATATTTACTTTTATACTTACACTTTTATATTTACACTTGCCTTGGAGGAGATGTTAGTTTAATTAGTTTGATGAAGGAGATGTTGGCAGAGGTTTAGGGTGGTGGAAGATAGCAGGTCGGTGTATGTTCAGCGGTCCTATACACATCACTTACTCACTTAACTTACTTGCTACACTGTTAATTCTACACTTTATCACTGGCTGGAGCTATAGCCTTTATCGATACCTGCTGCTTTAGTATCATATATATTGTAGAATCACTGAATCACTGCAGAAGGCACATTCTCCCCTCTCTCTTCCTCCTCTACTTTAGTACTTTGCTGAGTTTTTTCTTGAATTCTATCGTGTTTCTCACCTTCTTTACCAAAGGAGCTTTCTTTGGGCCCATGGTGGCTTATTTAGCAGTTGCAAGCACAAAAAACAATGAATTATTATGAAATGTGTTGCATGAACCCGTGGGGTGATGGTCACATGCTGGTAAGCAATGATACAATGAGTGTGAATAGTGCGGGAGACTGGCTTTGTGTGCGCACTGACGAGAAGACGCGTACCAGAAAGTCGCCGAATCACGAGTCCAATCATGAACCACGAAGCTAAATTTTGCCGAAAAAACTTGCCGAAAGTCGGATTTCACGAAAGTCGCGGCCTCTGAATGGCGGGGGTCCACTGTATTTACTATTGAATTTTTTTTTTTTCAACAAGTCGGCCGTCTCCCACCGAGGCAGGGTGACCCAAAAAGAAAGAAAATCCCCAAAAAGAAAATACTTTCATCATCATTCAACACCTCACTCACACATAATCACTGTTTTTGCAGAGGTGCTCAGAACACAACAGTTTAGAAGCATATACGTATAAAGTTACGCAACATATCCCTCCAAACTGCTAATATCCCAAACCCCTCCTTTAGACTGCAGGCATTGTACTTCTCATTTCCAGAACTCAAGTCCGGCTATATAAAAATAACCGGTTTCCCTGAATCCCTTCACTAAATATTACCCTGCTCACACTCCAACAGATCGTCAGGTCCCAAATACCATTCGTCTCCATTCACTCCTATCAAACACGCTCATGCACGCCTGCTGGAAGTTCAAGCCCCTCGCCCCTTTAGTATTAAGAACCGTACGTTACTGATACTGTACAGTATTGTCTTTAAGTTTTCAACGAACAATGGCACAAAGAGAGAACAATAATAATAATGATAATAATATTAAAAACAATAATAATAATCGTAACATTTGAAAAATGGCAAAATAACGACTTACAAACAATTCAAGATACGAACAGCCTTCTGGGACGTAACGTGTTCGTAAGTTGGGGGGCGTCTGTACTCTAATTGTGTTACTGTCTAATGCAAGAACTGTGTGTCAGAATTATTTTTTGCCCTATTTGATATAGCTAGATCAGAGGTTGGCAAACTCTTTTTTGGGGTATTACCCCAAAACAAATTTTTGTATAGCAAAATTGCTCAATAAGTTAAAAATTATTTGCTTGAAAAAATATGACTTTCATAATGTGCTTTGCTTATTAGATAATAAATTTTTGTGCAATTTTATTTATACGTTCATTGAGCCTTCAATACCCCCAAGATTTTCATTTCTACCCCATCTGGGGTAATTTACCCCGGTTCCCCAACCTCTGAGGTATATCAACACTTTTATAAAAAAGCACACACACACACACAAATCAATGTTTTTTCTCATTTTCTCAATCTAAGCCATAGAGGTAAAAAGGGTAATGTACCAGAATACAGTGGTGCTAACACTGTTATATGGATGTGAAGCATGGGTTTTAAATGTTGTAGCAAGGAGGAGGCTAGAGGCAGTGTAGATGTCATGCCTAAGGGCAATGTGTGGTGTGAATGTTATGCAGAAATTTTGTAGCTTGATTATTAGAGGGAGGTGTGGGGTTATGAAAAGTATTATCCAGAAGTTTGAGGAGGGGTTGTTGAGGTGGTTTGGATATTTAGAGAGGATGGAGTAAAACAGGATGACTTAGAGCATATATAAATCTGTAGTGGAAGGAAGGAGACATAGGAAAGCTTGGAGGGAGGAAGGTAAAGGTTTTGTGTGCTAGGGGCTTGTGAATTTAACAGGCATGTGCAAGCATTTTAAACAGGAGAAGAAGCAAGTGGTTTGTATGACTTGATGTACTGTTGGAGAGTAAGCAAGGTAACATTTATGAAGGGATTCAGGGAAAGCAGTTAGCTAGACTTGAATCCTAGAGGTAGGAAGTACAGTGCTTGCACTCTGAAGGAGGGGTGGGTATACTGCACTTTGGAAGAGTATCTGAGCTATAATGTCAGAATGCCACTGGCAAGACAGTAATGGAGTGAGTGACTGTGAAAGCATTTCTTCTTTTTTTGGGTCACCCTACCTTGGAGGGAGACAGTGTGTCAAAAAAATTATTCAAGGGGAAAGTAAGTGCCAAAAGTAAAAACTTTATGGCCTCTTCATATCAAAAAAGCAATGATGCATGATGCAGTAAAAAGGATGAAAGTATGTACTCTATATTAAAAATGTACATATAGTGTATAATAAACATACAACTACTGTAGTTGGCTAAAAGAGTTAGGAAATAAGTGATATTTAATACAGTGGAACCTTGATTTACGAGTGTCCCAACTTAGGAATTTTTTGAGATATGAGCCATCCCTGGGTCAATTTTTTGCTCTGAGTTACGAGCCAACATTTGAGTTACGAGCCAGCTCCCCCCCCTCCCTCTTCCCCCTCAACCCAAAACCTGGACACCTCGCTTGTTTATCTATGATTTCATGCTTTAATTCCATGGAAATCACTCTCTTTTTCTCTTCAGCAATAATAATAATATAATATATTATTACAGTCGTCACTCAGTAAGTCAGTCCAGTCACTCAGTAAGT